TTACTCACTGACAAGACTGTCCGTTAAAAAACGGCTGTTTCAGTATTTTTGTCTACGTTTAAGTTATGTTTACACTATACTATATAGCTATTCCTGCCGACGCGAAAAGCTATACGGTAAACTAACTCTACCTTAGAGATCGGAGCGCTGCAGCTTCGCTCCGTTACAGAAATCGCGCAGAAATCGCCCTTCTTCCTCCGGTTCTCGTGCCGGCTCAAAAGCTATTTGGTATAGTTTGAACATATATAGCCTTGAAATCACTGGCGATCCGTGCAATCTGATTGACTCTCAGCAGTGTGATTTATTTCCAAATCGCACCATTTTTTGCACTAAATCGCATCTTTTTCCCAACCAATGAAAAAGGAACACTAAAACAGCACAACCAACGCCAGCGCGCGTTCAATTTTGAAATCACGCGTATGATTTCAGACCAAATTGCACTCCACTCAGTTCAGTTACCATTATTAATAACATCACTTGAATAAGTATATCTTTTCCTTGTAAAATAAATCATCTGTTATTCATTTTCTTATTATATATATGTAATTATTTCTCTCTCTTTCATTCAGTAACATGAAAGTTAATAACCACTGGACAGATGTTAAATTTGGCGAGTCAAAGCTTATCTAAATTTTCAGTTCACATGATCAAAAAGGCCATTTGCAAGAGGGCGTCATTTAACTATTGCTAAAAAAAATCCATTTGGCTTCTCCATTCATATTTAAATTTGCTAATTCCAGCGAGATTTTAGTAACAAAATCCCTAATTTGCACAAGAAAACAAAACTCTGAAGAATTCTAGGAGTAGAATGAAATGACTTCATCTTGTAAACGGGATATTTAATATATACAGACACCTCATTCCTAATTTACTGCGCGCAAAAAAAAGGAAAAGGATCAGAATCTCGAATGTAAATTCTTCCTTGAGAACTTCACAAATGTTCGCAACGGTTGACAACAAAATTACGCACCAGAAAAGAGATACTTAGGTAGATAGGAGAAAAAACTCGACTTATACAGTTCAGCATGTACATTGGTAATGATGCACCCATAGCTGTAGATATTTTGAAATAAACCAAGCTATTATCCTTTATCTTTTTTGCTTACAGAGAAGCTTTTCTAAAGTTTTTATAACTGCTGCTCGAAGGTCTCTCAGGCGCCAGCAGTATAACAAGGGATTGATCGATGAATTGAAAAAAGCCACCGTTTCGGCAAGATGCCATGTTTTTGTCCAATCCTTATATGAAATGCTCGAAAGACATATCGATATGAGAATAGGAATGTAGCATAGGATCATGGCAATGTAAAAAATAAATGTGTTCATAGCACTTCGTTTATTTTGCAGCAAATTTGTTGTCTGTCCCTCACTAATACCTTGTGACGCAGCCATTTCTTGAGCTCGAATCTGAATCTGATGCTGTCGAACTATCAAATAAATTTTCATGTAAGAGAATGTTGAAAGTATGATACAAGCACAAAGGCCAACAGCCATCATTCCAAAATATGTAGGCCAGTGCCACAGATACAGGCCTGAAGAAGAAACGTTGCCAATCCAGATTATTATGATCGATGCATATGTTACCCGAGGTCTTGTTATAATGGCTGACTGATATCGCATGGGATATTGAAGAGCAATAAATCGATCAACGCTTATGGCTGTCATTGTGCAGATAGAGATCCCGCAAAGAATGAACTCAATCATTTCCGACAGCTTCTCGAGAAGTGAATTCACGGTGAGTTCACTTGCAACGAAAAATGGCTGGGAAATTAATCCAACAAGAAGATCCGAAACAGCCAAATTGAGGAGCATCGACATTGAAGATGATCGAATGCGTGGCGTCTTTATCATGGCGAACACTACCAATGTGTTACCACTAATAGAAATCAGGATCAGTGCAACGTTTAAAGCACAGTTTACAACAACAAGAGTTTTTTGCGTAGCACATTTCTCACCTTCGGCAAAAACATCCGTCGAGTTAATATTACATTTAACCGTTGAGTTCATTTCAAACCAAACGATATAATTTTTCTGTTTTTCCACGTAACCAAG